AGAAGAGGTACTGGCTGATTTGGATAACCAACTTAATATCTTTCCATCTTTATTCACGTTCAGTAAAATGCCATCTAATTTCGCTACAATTTTAAATGCTGAATCTAATTATCGAAATTGCAACTCCTCGTCTTTTTTAGCCATAAGTTAAATTGTTTTGTTTTAACATAGCACATGTTGAACAGACTGAAGTATCGGAAAGACCTGTCGTGGAAAAATGAATTTGATTTCAACTGAAACACCAGATTGTCTTCTATGCAAATTAGTCAAGAAATATAAGATAGATCGAAAATCTGTAAGGAGAAATCTTCTAAAAACCGTTTTTGCCAGAAACTCTAGCGAACTCCAAAAATTTTATAAAATAGTTGGAACTCAGCGATCATGTTCGATTTCGATTCTAAAGACCATGAGATTTACAACAAGTTTAAAGCACACTCTGGCGCAAGCTACAGCAAAAGATACGATAAATTTGATATTTTGAGGAAGTTTATTCGAGGGAATGACACTTTTTCGACTCTACTATTTTGGTTTTATATGTACACGCCCTGCTTTCCTCAAGTAGACTCCGTCCTAGTGTGTTAATGTAAACCTTCTTTACTATCACACTAAATGTAGCTACAATTTCTAAGAATTATTAGTCCTAATTAATTCCTGTAGCTGCTATAAAAATAGTGTCAATTTTCTCGTTTCTTAGGTAAAAGATAAAGAACACATTTTCGATAACATATTTCTAATGCCCGGTGACTTTCATGTCAAAAAGAATTACATGATTCTAATCTGGAATATTTTGGAGGGAAGTGGAATTGACGATCTACTGGGACATTTGTATCATGGAGCAAGTTTACGTGCAATTCTGAACGTTAGTCATTTTAACAAGTCGTTCAGATCAATAAAATTATTATACACGTCCATTTCAGTCCTACTTTTAGAAGAATTCATGCTTTACTTTAAAACATCATCCACTTTTGTCATACTATTTGATCAACTGAACGATAGTTTACGACTTTTGCCGAACTACTTTACGAAAAACGAGGAAAAACAGACTTGGTTTGAATTACTACAAGAGAAAATCTCTTCATTGAATTTGTTACTAATATTTAAAGCGTGGTGTGAAAAATGTTCTTCAAGCTCAATTAAATTTAGATTCTGGTATTTTATTCTTTTTACTGTCTTGCAACCACTTATTAAATTGTACATATCGATTAGAAGTAACAATTTTGAAATGCATAATGCAGCCATATGTGCTATGGCTCCACTTTTCTTCGCATTTCGTCGACGAAATTATGCACCATTGACTGCCCGATATATTTTTGATTTGCAAGTAGCATCTCCACAACTGATAGATCATCTTTCAAAATCATTTAGTGTTCAGCGTACAGCAAGACCGTTCTCTGCAATTGCAGTCGACCAAACCATTGAATGTACAATAAACAGATATGGCAAAGGCCGGGGTGGAATTAGTGGACATTTCAATAAACAACTAATTGATCGATGGTGTCAAGCGTTCTCATTTCGTGCCATTTTGTCATCAGTCGTTGCTGAAATTGTCAGTTTGGAGACAGGATTGAATTCGCTTGATACTCATATTGAATGTACACCGACAAGAATTGAAGTAGATAATAAAGATCTTTCACTGTGTATAGCAAAACTTAAATCTGAAAATCTATTCTCCTGTGAACAAAATTCTCTTCCAAAATTATTCACTGGAAAAATTATACATAACGATATCGTACTAAATATCTGTAATTCCTATGAACGTGGATATGAATTGTTGAAGAAATATTTGGTTGAACGATTAATAAACAAAACTGTAAATGTATATGATAAAATAGATTTCGGTAAAAAATGTTTGTATTTGAAGGATACGGACAGATATTCCTCGCCTTTACTTAAATTAATTAAATCTCCTACTCACAATCAACTAGAAGCATACATCAGAAGATTGTTTGTACTGAGAACTTCGAGAGGATTAGATTTCAATAATATTTTTAATCATGAATTTACCAACGAACCATTGTCCCTGTCAAATAAAAAATTCCCCATGCTTTTGTATCAAAGTAGTAAATCAGTGGTTCAAAAATTCCTTTTGGACACATTTCCAAAT